TATAAAAGAAATTGCACACAAAATTTATAGTGGTTAAGCTTAGAGTCCACTCTCTCATGCTAACAATTGGATTTCACCAGTCAATCAATAAGAGGTTACACAAGTGAGTGATGATACTCTAGTTTGTGATAGTTCACTCTATCACACAGTCACTCTTTCAATGCCTCTCGAGATGTCTTGTTTGAAGAATTTCGTTGCAAAACAATCTTTAAAATTGAAGATCACTCGATGCTTTTTATATTGGAAATCTGAACCAAATTACCAACTGTGACAATATAAGTAATGAAGTTTTGTGTCTGAGTGTGTGTACCCAAAAGTAGATTTCCTAATTTGATGATATTCACCTTTAGCATAGAATTAAAAGAAATCAAATGGTCTGATGATATCTACATATAAACTTTGTTGATATATACATTGTTGCTCTGATGATATCTATGCATTAATGTTGATGACATCCATGAAGTATCTGTCTTAAGCTTTAGCCGCGATATTTAAACAACGTTAGAGAGAGTCCGAATATAGTTAAGATTAATATGAACTTCTCTTCATGAGTAGTTCCCGAAACAAAATACTTCAGTCATTTATCAAATTCTGGATAAACTATGGATGTTTTGTCATCTTCAAAATATACTATGAGGTTTTCTCAACACTTCCAAACTAAATAGCCACCAACAAAGTTGGAATTCACTCTTAAGGTCCATCCAATCTTACAAGTTCTTTCACTTAGTGCCAATGATAGTTTCAATGGTGTTAAATCATCAATAGTCACCTAAACGGAAAGAACACTCGCATCTATCAAACCACAATGGCAAGAGATAGTTTTATCGTTGTTTCACCAGAAAATGCTCCCGCGGCGAAATATAATTCATCGAAAGTCGTTCTTCGGTTCTTAATGTGAGGAGACCGGGTTCCATAGCGACTCCGGACAGGAAATATCCAGGGAGACAAGGAAAACGGCAAACTTTTACTCCGAACTCGAACCGACTATATGTACAAATCGTGCCGGAATTTAATCGACGACAAAGCTTGAAAATACAGTCGCACACGTACACAAAGATGTAACGCCGGAATTTAATCGATGACACAACAATCGGGATAGAGATACACGCCGGAATTTAATCGACGACACGAATCGGAAAGCTACAGCTAAGGAAAGATAAAGTGCAGTACATGAAAGTAAAGAGAATTGAAAGATAACAATCTTGTCTCATGTCCATGTGATGCCATGATTCTGCTTTCAAAATAACTGTCTCACGATCTTGTCCACAAGTGATAACTTCCTCATAATCATAGTTTCAAGTAACTGTTCTCTCAAAATACGCATGTATGCTCTTTAGTGGTTTCCAACAGTTACGTTGAATCCACTACGTTGGCGGTTCTTTTTTGACTACACTACGTTGGCGGTTGCTTTGACTCCACTATGTTGACAGTTACTTCTTCTTTCTGCATCTCCAACCAGTCACAACCGTCGACTTCCTCTTAATGTCGAAAACTCTACAGTGATTTTCTGAGTAAACTCAAAACATAAAAGTTGTAGATCCAGAAGTCTTCGTTCTTTTGGATTTAGAATTAGGTCAATCCGATCTGTCTCGAAGAAGTTATGACCATTTTCCCGAAATAGCGCAGAACTGAAATTTTGTCGAAGTCCTCGACAAGATGAAGTCACGACCGTCGACTTCATTTAACCTCGATGTAATTTTCTGAGAAAACTCAAAACATAAAAGTTGTAGATCCAGGAGTCTTCGTTCTTTTGGCTTTGGAATCAGGTCAATCCGATCTGTCTCGAAGAAGTTATGACCATTTTCCCGAATTAGCGCAGAACTGAAATTTCGTCAAAGTCCTCGACAAGATGAAGTCACGACCGTCGACTTCCTTTAACCTCGATGGATTCTACAGTGATTTTCTGAGAAAACTCAAAACATAAAAGTTGTAGATCCAAGATTCTTCGTTCTTTTGGCTTTGGAATCAGTTCAAGCCGATCTCTCTCGAAGAAGTTATGACCATTTTCCCAAACTAGCGCAGAACTACAATTTCGTCGAAGTCATCGACAAGATGAAGTCACGACCGTCGACTTCCTCTTAATTTCGAAAACTCTACAGTGATTTTCTGAGTAAACTCAAAACATAAAAGTTGTAGATCCATGAATCTTCGTTCTTTTAGCTTTGGAATTAGGTCAATCCGATCTGTCTCACAGAAGTTAAATCGTTATCAAAATTCTCGAAGGTTTTCTCAACAGAATCTAAGGTCGAGAGCTCTCGAAATCACTCAAAAATAAGTCTTGTACCACTTGATCAACCACTACCATAATAGGGATTAGCATATAAGAGCACGTATAATAACCATTCCGTTTCTCTATTTTTCTGTTCTAAGGAATAGGTTTGGAGCAATCCGTTTGAACGCAATTTCATTTTTCTATTTTTAGAACAAATTTTTAGTCCAGAAATATGTTTGAAACAAAAATGATAAGTAAAAATGTTCTACTTTTATGTTTTTAGAACAAAAAGAGAAATAAAATCTTTTATCATCGCTCACCCTCGTCTCCCGCCGCCCTCTGCATATGATTGTCGCCCGCCACCGTCCGCCACCCATTGATGAATGAAAAAGAGAGTAAGAGGGAGAAATTTTTTATTGTTATCAAACAAATTTCTATTACTTCAAAAGAAATTTTGTGTTATTATTAAGCGCATATTTCCGTTCAGAAACTCGTCCAAATAATAGAAATAAAAAAATCTATTTTTGGCCAAAAATTTATTCCAGAAACAGAATGGTTATCATTCGAGCGCCCTAAGCAATTCGGCCAAATGTTATTCGGAGTAGGCAAGCCGATATACATCATCAAGCTCAAAACCTAATGGAAAGAAATTGAAAGAAAATAAAAGGACAATATACAAATTCGGAGTTTTCTACAGCCCCTAAAAAAAATTATCCTTAAGAAAATTGATCATACCCGGATTATAAAATAAATAAATCTCAACCGCTCAAGTAAAACTTGCTAAAAGCTTTTGGGATTCAATGTCTTGAATTAAAGTTACAGCGAAATGCTGCATAACGCGTGGAGTACGACGATGGACCGATTTGTCGAACGGTGAATCAATCCTTCAATCGCAAGAGTATCGTAACTATATACAATTTTTATCGTGACTTTCACATACAAGTTTTCGTACCATACACAAGCCTAAGAATTTTACCATAAGCAGGAGTAAAATTCTAACTATTTTTTGATAACTCGGAAAACAAAAGGCGGGAAGAGGATAGATAAGCGGTGGTTGGTGGGCCCGATGGACGACGTGGCGCACTTCGAGCCACTTGATCTCGACTCCCCGTACGTTCTATTCTCGGATACGGATGGTTTGGTTTTTTTTGCACTAAACGACTGGTTTGGTTTGGACGGGGCTTTGCGTGCGTTGCCACCAAAAAGACCGAGAAAAATATCCCACCAATCGGAAAGAGCACTTCATCTCATCCCCGCAAATGATATCGAGGCGGCATCCACTTACATCGAAATCACGCTTTCTTTCGAAAGATTTAAGTTTTCAGAACGATTAATAGCGATCTTACGAAATCTCGCGAGTTATAAATATATTAAGATTAACTTATGGAATCGATTCGCTTATTCATGTGGGGTTGAATATTGATTGAATATTCCTATTCACAGCCCATCGTATCTGTGAGATTTTGATGAGGTCGCTGTTAACTGTTCTAAAAGTTTAAGTTGTTTGATGAAGGCGTGATTTAACATTTAATTACTCTAACACTCCCCGTCACGCCTAGTTTGATTTATTTGCCTAGTATTAAATGTGGATATATTAATTAGTTTGAATTCGGGACCTCCTAACTATGATACAATTTGAGATTTTGATGAAACCGCTACCAACTGTTCTAAAAGTTTAAGCTGTTAGATGAAGGCTTTGTTTAATATTTAATTACTCTAACAATACCATTGAATATATATATATCTAGATAGTCAAACATGCAAGTAATCGCTCAAATGCAAATTCATTGGCAAAGTAGGAAGAAAAAAAAAACTTCTTTGTCACTTCATTCGTTTTAAGGATGGGCAGTGCGTCGGTCGTGGCTACAGATTTTGACAGCCACCTTCAAGGAGAGTATTGCATTTGAATCGAGGGTCGTGGATCCTCATAGATCTGTGCCTCGGAAAACATTTATGGAAAGAGATGGAAGTATCGAGAGATTCCTGCGGAGTCCAAACAAATGTGAAATAGATAAATGTTGGGTTTGGGCCAGCTTTGGGAAGAGGTTTTGAGCCACTAATATCCCTTGAATAAATGTTGGGACATTTGGTAAAAAAAATTTCAACCGCTTTGAATGAAAGCTAGCATTGGCAAAGCTTGAAGCCCTCCCAAGGATCAATGAATTTTTTTTCAGTTGTATTTCTTGTCCTTAGAAACTTACTAAAATTCCACTCTTACCCTCAAATGCCCCTTGGATACTGCAAACTTAAGTAGTCGCACTAGGCCTCAAACCAACGACCTCGGAACTCGAGTAAAAATTGATGCTTTTTATTGAGAAAAAAAAAATTCGGACGAAAATTATCACTCAATGTAAAGTTGATGTCTTCTTTTTTTTTTTTTGAAATTAGCCCGTAAAAGATCTCGGAGGAAATGGTTTTACATTTCCCTGGAGCTCTCCCAATAGAGCCTCAAATATCCCGTGCAAAAGATGAAAAATTAATGGGGTCCCTGTTTTTTCATTTATGGGAAATAAGTACCAGTGAAAGATTCATTTCTTGCACTTTGACCCATTCGAGGGCTTCTTAGCTTCATTGGGCTCCTTAACGGGTCTACAACCAAACAAAATTGGGCTATGAAATTTGTCAAAATGACTCCATTCTGTTCAGCATTTGATAAGCTCAGGCCGCAAAATCCCAGGCCCACTAATCAAATTCACGTATGATGAGAGGAGACACGACCAAAGTGTCGCTATTCGAATGTAGTTTAGTCATCTAGGAAGTCAGAAAAACAATAAACAACGACGGACGGTTCTGGTTAGGTTACCCCGGATCCAAATGTGTGTGAAACCGTTGAAATCCACATCATTGGCTGTTTGACAATCTTGCTCGTGATGAGCCAATGAAGGCGATGATGTTTCCAGGTAGGTGAAGGTTTTGGACGGATCGAAATGCGCGTGAAGCGTTGAAATTCAGATCTTGGGCTGTTGACGATCTTTGCTGATGTTGAGTCAATGAAGATGGCGATGTTTTTCTGAGGCCGGCTCGTTTTGCATTTATAAGTGGCGAAGGAAGCAAGGGAAGACTCGCAGTTTGAAGCGAAGCGAAGCACGATGAGCCGCTTCCTTCTCTTGTTGAAGATGGCAGTCGTCACGACCCTGGTTCTGGCCACACACCCATCTCAGCTTCATGCAGGTGATCATCGAAGGAGACATTCCGTTCGATCTCGATCTGCTTTGTTCTTTCCTTTTTCGATTACGAACCGCTGAACGAGTTAAAAGACTTGATCGCATGGGGTCGAGTTTGATAATATGTTCACTTTTTCTTGGCTCTGGCATGTATATTGCATGATTCGTTTCTTTTTTCTCAGCTGAGTGTAATTTGCGAGTCTAATTGATGTAATCTGATCATTGATATCTGATGATCACAGGAGGTGAGATTGAGGGAACGAGAATCATGCCAAGCCCACCTCCACCTCCAAACCGAGGCAAATGGCAGCATCAAATCCCTCCTGAGACCCCTCCTCGGCTCATCCCTATTCATCCCTAAAGTCAATCGTGTACGCGTCACGACATGTTTCAATCTCCCGAAGTCGTAATGGAATAAACTGTCAGTTACATGTAGCACTGGCTTTTCCTTTTAGCTCGGTCATGTTGAATTGCCGGGAAACCTGGATTTCCCGGACATAGTTTTTCAAATCCGGATCTCTATCTTGACACTTTTGCATTTCAACAAGAGGAAAATATCCCAAGAATCAATACTCATCAGTCCGCAAAAGTTATAGCCTCGGTTCGATTCGCGTCGTGGTCCAAATCGTGAGATCGTTTATGGGCAATAGTTGCAACAAGTGCCATTTACATTATACACCATATACATGGAACTTATTCTGAAGTCCTAGCTTAGTTCGCATTTCAACAGTCATGTTCCTACTTGACCACAAACTGAAAATCAGCGTGCTTCAGACGCTATGCATACGTGCGCACTACACACAAGGTGTGGTGAATATTCATAGTCAAAATTCCTGATCAGTCAAAGCGAAAATGACCAAAGATCAACTAGAATCGATGCCATTCAGATCTCTCAAGAATACGTGACCCCAGCGCATCCACAATTCCAAGCCAAAATGGGAAAGAATAAACTTTAGGAAAGTATCGAATGCTCCCCAAACACAGCCAGGAGATCGTCGCAGAGAAAGACCGGTCGAGGAGCGCCAAGACTGGATCGGACAGCACCTGGCCGCTAAATCCAACAAAAATAAAACAGCCATTTTCGGGGAGCCCTAACTCCATCCGATATCATCCTAATAAAAGGGTAAATTATCTGGCATTAACAAATCAAATTAGGATCTCTATTTTTTTATTTTTGGTAAGCTCAAAGAATGGTTTTCTTTTTCTTGACACAAGAGAGAAGATATGAGAGAGCGTATTCGTTTCGACGCAAGTTATGTGGTGATATATCAGCGTGACCACTTCTAATCTTAAAATCATGTAAAACACATTCTCCAAAGTACACATGGATTTGTTAGAGATTCTCTCTCGATATCATTCCAATTTTCAAGTTATGAGAGAGCGTATTCGTTTCGACTTCTTTTTCCTTTTCTCGAAAAGAAAAGATATTATTTAATGTCATTTTTGTTTTAATATTCCTTGAAAAACCGAGTTTTCATGGGCCATCAAAGTTCAATAATGGAGGGATGAAATGGGGTGTCGACACGTGGGGAACATAATCAGTAACCCAAATTGGTCCCTCCCCCCTTTAGTAGTGACAGGATGAGGAAAGTATATGCTTAAGAATGCTTTGGCTTTTGCCTCCTTTTTTTTTGGTATTATTATTTCTTTCCATGCTTCATGGCAAGTTGCAAAGCTGAGAGATGAACTTTGTGCTTTGTGATCTTTTGATTCTCCAATACTTTTTAAATATATAGATGCACATTTCTCAATTGGATAGTATAATATTACAACATGGAGAACATTCCAAATATATTTTTGACCCACAGCGATGATGACAATTAGCTTAATTTTTTTTTTCAATATTAATCAAATCAATGAGGGTCTCGGATTTGAGCCTTTGAATAAGACGTTACTTTTTGTCAGCTCCTAATAATTTGGAGACAATATCATCGAGTCCGCACTAGATGATATAAATTGTTAGAAAGGCCGGTCCAAAAGTTTTGAACGGCAAGGCTCCGTTTGTTTTGCGAAAAATGAATTGAAAAAATATTTTCCTAAAAATGATCACATGTATTGCTTGCAATAACTAGTTAATGAAAAATATTTTCATTATCGATAACAATTTATGTCCAAACATTTTCGTGGATGATGAAATAAAGCCTAAAGACTCGCATCACAACCTAACATTTAAGCTATTTCGATATACTTTAGCATAAATCGTGACATAACCCGCCAAAGTATGCCGGTGTATCCTTACTCTTATGCGCACTATGGAAACTATCATCCAACTATCGTTGGTCCAAAAAGATCATTCGGTTGCGATGTAATTAGAGAAAACTTTAGATTTAGGAACAAATACCGCTCCAGAGCAAATATTCTACGCTGCGAACTCTACTTACTCGATATCCATGCTGATGGCTTATTGCAGACTAAAGCGATGGCGAGCAACAGAAGGTCACTCACTAGTCTTTCGCAATGATTTAGCTGGCTGTGACTAGAGATTCGGTCTCTAGAGCTATTATCGTAATCATCTGTGAAAGAACTCCTTTGTCCACTTCCAGAATATTCGGGCAGTGACTCGATGCTCCCTCGCATCCCTGGTCTTGCCATTGGTTGCTGTTCAACCACGTAGCATCTTGCAAAGATTCTAGTGCTTGTGGAGGGACCATTAGGGTTTCCATAAAGATCTATCTTTAAGAAATCAAGAAAATGAAAAACGGGAGAGAGAGAGAGAGAGAGAGAGAGAGAGAGAGAGAAAGAGAGAGCTGTCTTAATAGCTAGAGGATGTTAGATCAGATCTTGCCCGACAATGAAAGAGCGGTCTGTCTAGATGCCTTTACATCATTCTGGTGAAATGTATTATTTCTTGAGCAATTCACCCACTAGGAAAGGTGTTGTTATAGGAAAGTGAAAGTTTGAAAATTCCTAGGGTCCATGGACATCTCAATAATTTGTCCTGATACCTAATCATTAATCACGCCCCCATTGAATTCTTGGTCGGATAAGCTGATAAATGATCCAATAAAGTTCTTCACGATTCTCACAAATCAATAGAAGAGTGAACAGTTTAGGTCCTACGAGTGATCAGGTGGATTAACCTACCTTCAAACCCTAAAATTTGATTTTTTTTTTAAAGTAAAGCTAGGTCATCGCCAACCAATACTTAAAAGTGATTTACAAAGTTGATTTTCTAAATGATGTGTCAGACTGTTATTGATTATTAAATATAACACACTTTTTAGAGAGTCATTAATAATCTAATACATCATTTAGTAAAATTGTAGCGTTATTCCTTAGACATAGCGATGATCGAGCGAAGTGTCGGCACAATGTGGGCCTACCCTAATGTTGGAAGTGTACGGTGTGAATTGAGTATGATTTATTGAGAATTTATCAAGATATTTATTATTTACTATTCGTTGAAAATAAGAAAAGGTTAAAAAAAATAGAGATGGTCCAGAGAAGACGAATCTGTTTGCTATATACACTAAAAAACCAGAATCTAACTAATTTCCATTCCCTCTTTTTACTATAAATAGAAGCTACGGCCTGTTGGAGTCTCTCACAGGTCATCATCTCCCAACCCAAGAAACCCTATCCTTTCCTCATAAAGTAACTTAACTTCCTTTTCACTTTTATCGTCCGAAACCCTAGAGGCAGTGGCTAGCCAGCAGGGAGAAGGAGAAGATCATCTATCATCAAAAGGCTGCCTGTTTTTGTCCTTTCTGCTTAACTTGTTAAAATTGTTTTGATTTTTGTGAGAGAAAGAGAAAGAGAGAGGTACACTGGTGTTGTTGACAGAAGATAGAGAGCACAGATGAGGATGTGCCATTGGAGAGTGTTTCTGCATCTCACTCCTTTGTGCTCTTTATGCTTCTGTCATCTCACCTTCTTCCGCCCCTCTATTTCTCAGTTCATTAACATATTTCCTCCATATGGTTTTGTTGTGTATATGTCCTTTTGATGACATGCTCGAAATGGGTTTTCTTTTTTATTATTTTTCTTGTTTTGTTCAGTGAAATCTAGCTAATTTGGGATTTGTCCACCATTCAAGCTTTAGGCCTTTCTTGCGCGCTGAACATTTTTTTCTTTGAACAAGCTAATTATTCCTCACTCACTTGAGTTATGTATAATTTATACCTTGTTCTTCAGTTCCCTTTTTGCAGTCCGCTACTGGAGAAGGAAGGAAGAGAGCAACTTAGACAGTTTTCTGTTCTGATCCTAATTGCAAGGTATTGAACTTAGATTACAAATTGAAGGTAATGCGTGGTTTATATAGTTTGGGGCTCTCACCTTAACAACTAGCTTTCAGTAAGTGATTCACTCAATACAGATCTATGGAAGCTTGTATACAATATTGAAGTAAAAAATAAGAGCACAGATGATGAAGCGTTTACTAAAATCTTAAAGTCAGCCTTTGTTCATAGAGAACGAATTGAAGATACCCACTAAAGTTTATGAGGGCTCATGGTCAGGTGGAAAATTCCTGAAGTTCATAATTATTTTCAAGAACTACATCTGTGATAGCTGGTTATTGTTTTGTAGGTCTTTGGCTCTGATCTTTTATGCTCTTTCACATGTAATTGAAATCCATCTTCTATCGGGTATTGCTTCCCTTGGAAAGAAATCGAACTACTAAATGGATGGGAAAGAATAATCAGATACCAGACCATCAGTATAAGTTGCGTACTCTAAATTGCTGTGTGCACACCAAGGCATCATGGTTCAGATGCATAGGTTCCATCTCATTGAGTTATAAATGGCCTCTTTTATCGATCTGATGAACTAATACATGCTTTGACTTTCACATTACAAGTAGCTGGGGATGATTCGCCAACAAAACGATAAGCAGCTAGTATGGATACCAAAGTACCACATGGTTGGTGGGAGAGGTGCCTAGTCTAAGTACATGTGTGGTCAGAGATTATTCTTTCTGATTGTTCTGAAAACTGCCAATGCTAATTTGAAACATCATTGGCATCAGACATTCATTTACAAGTTACAATGACAGTGTTGTAATAGTGACAGTGTACAATGGGTTAGGTTTGTTCTTTCTTCCCGTTTTTCTTTGTTGCGATTATGATAAAGGAAAAGCATCTGCAAATGTTGGGCAAAAGTGTGTGCTCGATTTGCTAGCTTAGAAGCTTAACTAAGCTTTGGGAGCAATCTATAAATTGTTTTTACCTACACTTACACTTAATCCTTTTGGGGGTAGATAGAACATGATCAACTCGAGCTTACAAGTCTATCTTTTTTATCTTTGTAGTGAACTGGCATATGATGTTATCCCAAACATTCGGGAGCCAGACTAACAGCTTTGGCGCAGAGAATTTCATGAGGAAGAGGGGAGGTCATGTATGCAAGTATTGCTACTTCCGGTAATATTAACTGGACTCTCATCTATCACTCACCGACAATAGAGAAGTTAGTTTTCACAAGCGGCCTTGAGGCATTTACAACAGTTTGTTTGGTTCATTCGTACACACTTGTTGCTAAATTCACATTGTCTGCAGAAAATACACTGGCTGGCGGGGTTTTGCAATGAAAATCCATCACCCTAATCAACATTAAGTCCCTAACTGATGATAGATCAGAATAATTAGCATGCATGCAAATCTTGGGCTAGTGTTTCGATTGGAGTGTCACAAGCACGCTATGGAATGGAGAGTACTTGAGGAAAGTCAAGATTAAAGGTAAAGAAAGGTATCTTAGAATCCTTGTTCACTCAGCTTATTGTCATCACTGTCATTTTCCACTTATCATCACCTCGGAATCCCCAAGTTGATGATTGGTCATGCATTTCAAGACCTCTCAGCTGTACGTTTTCACTTTGATTTATACTTTTTTTTACGTGCCTTGACATATTTATGGGATAGATTTTGCCACTAAAAATTACATGAAAGTGAAAGAATATCATGACAAAACCGATAGTCATATTTATGTAGACAAAGATTTCCACCCCATGTAGGTTTTTTAATTGTTCCGCTCTAGTTCTCATTGCTCGCCCTTTTCAATTTATGATTAATACAGTCTAATGGCGTGTGCTAGGTTTCCCAGGGAATGCGATTTCTCGTAGTATCTACATCTATATAGAGATTGACTGACAGACTATAGGTCTATAAGAAAAGAAATTGTCTATAGGCCTTCCATTTTCGTCAAAGAGGTGCATCGAGACGTGAAGTGCTATGAGTTTAGAGCATGGACCATGCTTTACGAAAATCGAAGAGATTGCTTTTGAGGCTCTAGTCTGTTTGACATTGCTCCCCAGGCCCTACAAACATTATCTTTTGGTTTTGGTCAATTATGATGTGGAAATCATTACGCTGCTCAGCTCATGAACCGTGTAAGTCGCGAGCCAAAATCTCTGTAGCTCAAACATGAAAAATTTGAACACCGGGATTTAGGAAATCAAAAGGGACAGTGTTTAAAATTCGTTGGCTGTGGTGGAGAAGAGGGGTTAACAGACTTGAGATTGCTCTAACGCTGGTTTTACATGGCAAATCTGAACAAGAAGAAAGTGTGGAACATTTTAGAACGCGGCAGGTTATGATTCTTTGATGAAACTGGTGTTAATAGTTGAATAATTTTCCTAAGATGTATCCATGAGACAATGTTTAAGCTGTCTATGGTACATGATTAAGCTCCACGATAATGGTTATGGTGCAAAATATATGTACGTTACACTCCACATTTCTCTATCGTTAATTCATTGGTTACGGTTTCTTTAACTTTCTTCTTTGTTTTGTCGCCGTTTAGAGATGAAAAGATAATCATTCAAATGATCACTCTAAATGTTGCACTTGATTATCAGCTCATAATATGACTTCACGACATAAGTTGGATCAGTCGGCTCGTCATTTGACCGGTATAAAAATACGCGCTTTGCAATCGCTCTCCCATATTGCATGTTTAAGTATATTCATCCGGTTGCGCCAATGTGACCCTGTAGGTAAAGGTTTGTGTCCAAGTTGTGTACTTAAAGTAGTCGATGCAAAAGTTGTGCAGAATCTTTAGTTTCCATGGTTTCCGACTCATAACCCCGAATGATCAACTTGCAGAATCAAATCAAGTAAAAGTGGTGAAATTTCAAATCTATCACAATTGACATAATCGACACCGGAATGATGCAACATGAGAAAGAGAGAAGATATCAACTGAGAAGGTGTGAGAAGCTGAGAGGCTGAGGATGGATAAATGGTCTAAGCAATGGCACCATCGGAAATCAGAAATGCCTTAAACTGAGGAGATGCATCTAGCCAAGCATGAAGAAGTACAAGGAAAGGATTTGAGAGCAAGTGTGCCCAGAACAAATTCGGTTTGGAGACAATGATATCGTGCTTCGATGCGAACCTAAAGAGATCAAAAAAGAACGACGTCGCTATATATGCAAAGACATGAGATTTTGCCGATTAACCAGTGACACCAGAGGTTGAGCCTCGATTCTTCCCTCTGAGTAGAGGACAGTGGAGATGGAAATCCTCGAATTTTTTCACTTCCCTGAGATGGAAAAAAAAATCAAGAACAGAGTCGCAAGCATTCACAAGTTACATATGAAGCAAGTTGTTTTGTCATGATTCAAAAGTTCATGTTGAGGAACCTAAGGTTTATAAAAGTTGTATGAAGCACTGAATGCCTAGTTTTGAAATTGTCAATTACAAGATGATATCACACACAAAGCAAATATACTTCCATAGCTCTTCCCATCTTCTTTACTGTGAACAGGTATATGCAAAGTAAAGAACGCCAAATAGTAAAAAATGGAAGCTACATTTAAACCTCTCCGTCCACACAATATCCACAACCAAAGTGCAGTCAATATGATGCTGATCACTAATTTTAATAAGCCCTTATGGAATAAATATTCAGCCGTAACAGGCTAATAACCATTCAATCACGACAGAGTTATCCATTACCATCAGCACTTACGAAACTGACGACTCCAGATCGTTGGGCTTTATCTCCTCTTTCAGTGAGTGACTATGCAGTTCCCGCGTAAAACTGGTAGTTGTGTCCAAGAAATAAAGAACAAATGACATCATGACGCAGCAGACAAACATCGGTATCGGCCCGAAGATCCAGAGGAAGAGAGGAAACGACACATAGAATGCCCGTAATCCCAAGGACCAAAAGAAGCTTCCCCGGTTCAAGTTCCGGGCGGCATATTCAATGGAATCTTTTTTACCTTGGGATGTAGGCAGGGTGGCCAAGAAACTGACATGGGCATAGTATCTGATGGACTGCACATTGCAGAGGAAAGCGACAAGGAAGCATACGAGTATAGCAAAGTACTTTATAGAAGTTATCATAGCGGTTTGGTTGCCGTAAACCAATTGTGAAGCTGTGGCAGTAGAGCTGGATGAGCTGCTTGCGAAAACACTGATCAGTGAACTGAGAGTGATTGCTGTCGTTGCCAAGAGTGTCGATGCCATAATATTGTTGCGTATCGTCTGGACGGTCAAGACACCATTCTTCAGGGGATCCTGAAACACCAAAATGGATGTATCACTTAAAAAAGTCAGACACAACATAATTGCGCAACTGCAAACCAGCTGATATTTCTCAAGATGCCATTTTCGAACTAGAATTTGGAGTTAATTGAAATATACTTTGTCAAATCCAAATTGGGTCTTGCTCTCGCATTGAACAGAGATATACATGCATGACTTATGAATATATTGATTGAACAGAAACATAGCTGTGCCCCAAATAACAGACGTCAGCATCACATTACTATCTTCCATCCTCTGATCTGAAAAAATAGGTTTATGCTTTGTTCTGCTTCTCCAATCTTGTAACTTACCAATGATACTTTGGACAAAAGAAAGAAAAATCACAGCAAGACAGTGCAGGTATCATAGGCTGAGCATTTCTCCGTAGATGGAAGAGTAGCATAGACAAGCTGATTTAATTTTGAACAGTGACTTGAATATTCTCTCTGGATCTGTTATGAGCTCTTCCAAACAGTACCGAAACGCTTAATTATTTTTTGCGGCCAAACACTGGACGCGATTGGACCGACAAAACTTCACCTGTCTTTGAAGCAGAACCAAAGGTTCACCTGTCTATAAAGCAGAACTGAAGGCAATCGAGAACTAAACCGTATCGGCCGTCACTTTTATTTCCTCCAAGTTTTAATTTGTCAAAATACGCATCCGGGGGGCATCTATGCCTATAACGCAACTCTGGACAAGTAATCTGAGGCGGGGAAAAGGACTGGTACTTAGTACTAGAAGAGGTACACCAAGTTCTGGAGCTAGTCTTCTGAGCAGATGAACAGCAATTGCTTTCTCATACATGTAGTACTTACTGGCCTCTCACATAGATTGAACTCGACATGAATTACAACAAAGGCATACACCAAGTTCACATTTTATTCCCTCTTTTCTCCTAGTCTGGGGCAGTTCTACTGTTCTAGTATCCCAGTATCTTCAAGTTCTGAACACAGAGCTCTGCTTGTGCCCATCACAGAGAACTCGTGAAATTCTAAACACCCATTAAGCCAAACAAAACACTGAGACGACACACGGAGATGGGATGAGCCCAAAACGCATGACCCAACAAAAGGCTCTACTCTTTCAAGCGAAAATCATTGGTGGGAGGGAGGGAGACTGACGGTCATGAGAGAGTGAACCCACTGGTGGCGAGACTCGGCGTTGAGGCCAATGACGGTGCGCCTTGGGCTTCGAAAGATGGTGACCAGCAGCCAGGCGTGGTACGCCCCCAGTATCAGCAGCCCGAGCGGCACCAACACGTAGTCCAGCCTCTGTTCCTCCATTCTTCCTCTGTGCGTGATCGGCGAGATGGGGAAACGGCGAAACGGAAATCCAGAGAGGAAGGGAAGGGAAGGGGAGGGAAAGAGGACGGAAAAGGGAAAGGTTAACGACACGAGAGTAATGGAGAAAGTGAGGTGATCGTCTATTGTGCTTCAATGGAGGAAAGTTCGCCATTTTGAGCTTTCTTTAATAGGCTTATCTGTCATCATTCCACCGTGATGACAATGATGACGATGTTGATTAGTAGGAGGTGAGTAAAAAGCAACAGTCCGGATGGGACCGAACCGGCCGGTTCCCTGTTCCCGGTTCCCAAAATTTAGACTAAGTGAATATTGGTCCGGTTCTTGATTCCACGTTACCCGGATCATTTGGACCGGATCAATATTTTTTTGTTTAATTTTTATTTGGCCCGCACTATTTCCATCATTTGATTGGCTCTTGACACTCTTATTACATTGAATTGACCACATTATTTCTGTCGGTATTGGGTCTCACTCCTGATTTAAAATGATTTCTTAACCTTCTTTTTCTTCTTCTTTGTCTTTTGTTTCACTTTGCTTCGAGACAAAAGTACCCATTCACACAACATTTATTAAGGTTAAATGTGGGATTACTCTTGATTTAAGATTATTTCTTACCTTCTATAAGGCAGGAAAAATGTCCAAAAAGTCATAAATCTATTGTGCGGCGACCAATTTAGTATTAAATCTTTCGATTTTATTAATTTTATCCTAAAATATTTGACAACTTACCAATTTAGTCACAAACCTTTCAATTGTGCCAATTTAGTCCAAAAGATTATGATGATTTGGCAATTCAGTACTAAACATTTTAACAATTTGCTAATTTAGTCAATTCGGATAATTTTGGTTAGAAATCGCTTATGTGGTGATCTAGTCAATGCCAACCGTTCTATGTGGCGAGACCGGCGCTAACGTGGATAATTTTTTATTTTCTTTTAATTTTTCGAAATTTTTTATAAATTTTTTGAATTTTTTCTTTCTTTTTTCTTTCCTTCATCCTTTGGCCGGTTGTCAAGGGTTGGCTAGGTCTACCTCGCCAGCCTTTGGCTTGTTAGCCACGCTTTGCGACTGGCGAGGGTTGAGCCTCATCGGCCAGTGGAAGAAGAAAAGAAAAGGAAAAAATTCAAAAAAAAATTATAAAAAAAATTCTTAATTTTTTTTAAAATGTAAAAAATAGTCCACCTTAGCGCCGGCTGTGCCACATAGGATGGCCAACGCTGATTAGACCGGCACATCAACGATTTGGGGGAAAATTGACCAAAATGACTAAATTGGCAAATTATTAAAAGATTTAGGACTAATTTGGTAAATTATCAAAATACAATTGAAAAGTTTAAAATTGAATTAGCTGCCGTGTAATAGGTTTAAGACTTTTTTGGACAAATTTTCCATTTCAGGGCCACATGATCAACGATTGATATACAGCCCATTGTGAATACGAATTCAGAAAAAAAAAACAAAAAAAGAAACAAATATTCTACTTACGAAGCATTTATTGATGGGTCAAAACTATTGAACACAAATGAGATTCGCTACATTCAATAATTCATCGCGCTAAAGAGTGCTTCCAAGTAATATAATAAACAGTAGTTTGGTGTTACTGATCACAAATTATACGAAAAACAAACGGTACATTAAAAAAATATTTAGTCGATTAATAGGTGGTCCAGAGTCGTTAATAAAATACAAGTGGAGGGTGGATTTCAGATAAGCCTCTTGCATTGTGTTCAGTCCTTGACATTAGATAAAAGGTGTCATGTAATAGCTTTGCGAACATGTATCTTCTTGCCCTTTCTTCATTATCAACAATTTCTTGTCTTGATTCAAACCGATACATCGCCAATGACAGGAGCTCTTCACATTACATGGTCAGAGACAGAGACAGAGAGAGAAGAGAGAGATCTGACACAAGCATGCAAAGATAATATTCATGTTTCCTTGCAAATCTGTGCAGAGGGTGGGCCAATCTTGCGCCATGGTTGTGGCCAATCTGGTAGTTTTTCTAATGATTGACAAAAGATGATGTTCAGATGCCAATCCAGGGAGTTCTTGTCCAAGTTCTTGTGCTTTTGTTTTAGTTGGTTTGTCTGTTTATACCCATGCCTCAATAGAAGACAACCACACAACTCATTTGAGCTTCGTAGCTGTTGAATGTCACCAGGACCTGCGTCCAAGTTCGGGCAACTTGCTTCGTTGGTCCACTAATTTCCTTGATGTTTTCTTGAACAAGATCCAGCATGAAACATTATTTTTTCCTAGAGATGAACAATGTCACTATGCTAGGCAATGTTCAGAACGAAGCCTTGTTGAGAATGTCCGCGAGTGCTCAATAGATACGAAATCAGAAAAGGAACGATTGTGGTCCGGCCGCTAGAGTTTATGCAATTTTTTATTTTAAACTTGCTACGTGTTTTGCCGTATCGTATCGTGCGATCGGCAAGAAGCTAGAGCAACCAACACCGGCAGAAGTAAAGAAAAGCACTAGTGACGTGGTCAGTGAGTTAGCAAGTAGCTCATGCCCTATCTTACTTAGCTCAACCATTGGATCAATTGAACACAACTGACTCGATTCGATTCATGTCAAAGCTAACAATAGACTGTCCAAGAGGAACTCGACTGCTTATCTTATAGGCACACTAGCGCAAACTGCAAGCTGGAGACCATCCTCTTCCCTGGGCACGACCCACGAGACATGTACAGTTACCATTCCGACAGTGCCAACTAAAGGCCCGTATGTAACAAAAAATCCACTACAAAGATGCGCCTAGCGTACGCAGACCATGCCTACTTAAGCTTCCATGGCGGACAAGCACACATCCTGTAGACCTTTTTCCTTATTGAATGCCCATCAAAAAAGAGGGTTGTTTCTTCAATTGTGAAACACCGCGAGCTTTACGCACCATCACCAGGAACGATATAGCATCGAGGGAAAACCAAAGTGCTCAAGTTTCCCACATTGTCGCACAACATGCAGGTACAAGTAAGCGTACAAAGAAACGACAGAAAAATACCGAAGAATTAATCTCTCAACCACACCGAGCCGCGCATTAATAATATCTTTCTCCATTACGGTATGAAAAAGAAAGGTCCTCAGGAGGAAGTTACATATTAATGTACATGATATAAGTCAATTATTCTGGAGAGGCTTTTGACAAATTATGATCTCTTTATAATTACTTGAGGAATACAAGGGAGCAAAATTTTCTGTTCAGTTTTTACACAGAAAAGCTGAGCCAATGATTTGGCATGGGTGCAGCTTTGTCCAAGCGACAGTTTGAGCCGCTTTACCATGCAAGCTTTGTGTAGCTGATGCTTGAACTCCTCAAGTGCCTTTTCCTGTAGCTTTTCCCAGGGAAGTCAAGCTCCATCTGCATAAAAAAAAAGGAGAGGCCCTAAGTTCCCCCATGTGGTGGATGACTAGTTACACTAGGATAATACCCCCAATTCCTATATCCAGCAGTTACTCGCAGATACATTTCCGATTTCCGAATGCTACCATTAGAAGCTAAAGAACCTATAACAAGACAACAGCTCAACCAAAAGCGCAAAGGTGATCTACCTAATGAGCGGTTTCCTTTGTGCCGGAGGCGCTGGAGGATTCACAATTGATGGTGGTGCCATAAGTTCAGCAGGCTTGGGCAGGAAAGAGCAGACAACAAGAGAAAACATAAGATACAGGCAAACAAAACCAACAAAAGTAAGAAGCAACAAGAAAAGAGAGTTTTCAAGATCTGCCAGTAATGTCCCAAAAACTGCCTGTAAAACTTTTATCAGGGGAAATAAGCATGACAGCATCTTCAAACAATTATTTTAAGCTTGACACATTTAGGGCCCACCTAAAAGAAGAACAATGTGTGCAACCGCTGAAAATTCATACCAAATAACCTCTCCACATTAATGACAGAACGATAATTTCTAACCTGAGTATAACCAAGAAAGGTCAGCAGAGATTACCTCGAGCTCCTCTAAATCCCCACATGTGTAGAAACTACCAGAGGTACTCGTTCCATTGCTAGACGTTACTGCTGTTGCTGCCACATTTGATGTCAAAGACACCACTGGCGGGCTTTTCTCATTTTTAGCCGTATCTTCATATTTGTCTTTCTGTTTAACATCATCTTCAAGTTCATCAAGTTCTTGGGAAAAATCTTGGCAGGCAACATATGATACAGATGTGATCTTTTCAATTGCTAGATTCTCTGCTTCCTTTGAACTTGATTCATCAGCAACAGAACCTGAAGGTTTCCCATAGGCAGAGCCACCTGTTATGTGATTTTGAACTACGTCATGCCCTATATCCCCAGCTCCATTAGTCGCATCAGAAGTAAGGACACTTTCTTGAGCTTCTCCAGCAGATGAAGGTGAAACAGCCACAACTCTCGCACTTTTTAAGTTTGACTCTACCTCCTCCTCTCGCTTTCTCTTCCTGTCATCGTCTATTTCATCAGGAGTACCCTGTCCTTCAGAAGATTTATCTACTTGACTACTGCTAGCAGCTTTCAACTCCGTGGCCCGCCTAGAATCCCAAGTAGCTTTTGATGGACGGGGAGGTCGAACACCACCAGGAAAGACGAAGTTAGGGATATTCTTACGCAGTACATGACTTACATAAATCTCCATCCCAGGCTTCCATAATGTGTACAAATTGACAGAACGCTTAAATTCCTCAACAGTTAACCTAATGTCAAACTGTTCACCTCCATTCGCTGGAACCCCTTGTTTTCGTTGCAGACCCATAAAATAACAGTGATGAAAAGGTCTGGACTTGTCTGAAAAATCACCCGGGTGGGGGTGGCACTGAAGCATGTTATAAGTGTGCCTCTCAATCTACATTTGCACGTCAGCAGCTTAATCATTATACTCATATATGTCTCAAGAATATGGAAAAGGAAAACATCAAGAAAAAAATGTTTCACCTTCAATGTGAGCTGACGTAGACGAGACTCAACCCAACCTTTCCACTTTCTTAAATCATCAGCATTTTCTGCAGAGATATCTATTTGCAGATAATTCTTGTATGCTTCAAAAAAGGCAAAAGGCTCAAAGAGTGTATCCCACTCAGCCTTGCTAGCCTCCATAGCCTGTCACCAAGCAGAAATATCGTATTTATGGCCAAGGGAAATCTGGAGGAAGATCTAACATATCACTATCTTCAGGCATGAAAGCCAGAGAGATAAC